GACCCAAAAATCTGATAGTAGGTGTTAGGTGAACTGCATTCAGTTACTGAACACACACATTTCTTTTCCAGTATAATTTGGAGAGAAACGGACTTTAAATTTGAAAGTAGAAGCTTTTTAACCAGGAATATTAAATTTCTTTACTAGGAATCAAGACTTACGTAATAAAAGGAACTTTCCATAGCTTTTTGAATAGGTCATGTGACATTTAAGTATTCTAGTGACATTTTATTTCCAGATATTTTAAACTTCAATCAGAGTGATAGCAAGTAAAGTATTTTTGAAAATGGCAAACCCTTTACCCTACTCCAGGGAAATCCTTGATTATTTTTTAGCAATTTTATTTTCAAGGTTAAATTTTAGAATAAACTAAATGGGATTTCTGTCAACTTGCCAAATACTTTAAACTTCTAAATAAATTAATTTAAATGTTTAATTTATCATTAATTTTGTTTTATTAATTGAACTAGTCATTTTTAAAGCTTAAAATAATTTAGGTTGTTAGCTAAAATATAGATCATACTTTTTTTCAGCTTGTAGGCTTTCTCTTTATTTAAAGGAAAATAAAGTTTAGACAAAGAAAAGTAAAGGTATACATTTGGATGTAATTTAAATCTTATTTTTATGACTGTTGGCTTAGTGGTTATAGATTCTGTTCCAGTATTGTTTTCAATAATAGTGTTACTATAGCAACTAACAAATGCTATCTTAAAGGGGCAAAACAAAAAGCCTCTCCACTGATTGTGTTGTATATTGGGAGGAATTTTTCTTCATTAATTTTTATACCTTGCTGTAGACTTAGCAAAATTAGTTTTATCAAAGAAGTAGTGTGAGTGTCTGAGCTGGGCGTGGTGGCACATGCCTATAATCCCAAAACTCAGGAGGCTGGGGCAAGAGGATTGCCATGAGTTTGACGCCAGCCTGGGCTACATAGGAAGGCCCTGTCTCAAAAAAACAAAACCAAAAAAAGCAGTCAGAAAATCCTGTCACAAGTACTTTTTTTGCCTTCTTAATCTCATCATTTATTTCTTGTATTGATAGAATGCTCCAATTAATTTAAAGAGGGAAGATACTGTCAGAAGTCTTGATATTTTTACATACATAGCACTGCAGAAGCCAAAAAGATTTCTACCTTCCTGCTTCTAAACTCTTTATAAATGAGTTCCTATTTTAAAAATTAACTTAAAGCAAAGGCAAACCTGTTCTCTCTCTATTGAAATGATGATTATGGCAAGCATACTTATCTAGGTACTTGAGTATTATCATCATAATCACTCTGTCAAGCAATGGAAATACATTAACATTTATTCATTAACTCATGTTTGAAGATTTGATGATAATTAAAACAGGAAGCAATCTTAATGTTTTAAGAAAATTTAAATAGGACTGGGGATGTAGCTCAGTGGCATGTGTGAGGCTCTGGGTTCAACCCCACCCCCCAAAAAGGAAAAAGTCTTAATTAAGAGAATGAATAAATAGATGATAAAGTGTATTTGTTATAATATAAACATTCTGCAACCATTAAAATTGATGAAGTTTTGTATTTGATATACAATGGAAACATTAAGGGAGAAAAATAGTTTTCAAAACTAAGTGTATTACGGTCTTTTATGCAAAGCTCTGCACGTGCTTGCACACATGCATGTTTGTCTATAGATGTTTGGAGGAAGATGTAACAAATGGCCAGATGTGGTGGTGCACACCTGTAATCCCAGCACTCTGGAGGCTGAGGCAGGAGGATCGTTGCAAGTTCGAGACCAGCCTGGGCTACAAAGTGAGCTCAAGGCCAGCCTGAACCGCATAGCGAGACCCTGTCTCAAAAAGACAAAAAAAAAAAGATGTAAGAGCTGTTACTGAAAATTACCTCTAGATTTTGTAGGAGATACTAGTACTGTTTTCATTAATTTTTTTAAATTAATGATCAGAAGTAATAGCCAATAGAAGAAATATAAGCAATTTTTCAGTTTTTTGTTTCGATGGAAGGAGGGGGTAATGTTTTAATAAAATGATTAAAAGTTTTTAATGATAGGAAACAAAACCACATGAACTTTTCCTGTGACTTACTGGTATTTCTATCAACCATGAGTCAAAAGGTTGAATCTCCACCATGCCTTATATAGGCAATCATGTTTGACTTAGGGAGGAAGGGAGGGAGGGAGAGAGAGAGACTGGGAATTGATCCCAGGGCCTTTACAAATGAGCTACATTTTTTATTATTTTTATTTGCAGACAAATCTTGTTAAATTGCCTAAGGTGGGCTTGAATTTATTATCCTCCTGCCCAGCTTCCATGAGTGCTGAGATTAAAACGCCTTGCTTATAATTTCTTTTATTACTTTAATGTATGCTTGTTTTTGAAAATGTCAAAAAGTTGAAAGTAAGCCAGGCATAGTAGCACGTGCCTGTGATCCCAGCACTCCAGAGGCTGAGGCAGGAGGATCACCATGAGTTTAAGACCAATGTGGGCTACATAGTGAGTTCAGGGCCAGCCTGAACTACATAAGGAGACCCTGTCTCAAAAAAAAAAGTTAAAAGTGAAACAAATAGACCACTTAGGTTTCTCTGTCTGCCAGAATGCTTCAGGGATTATCTTTTTTTGTTGTTTTTTTGTTTATTTATTCATTTATTTTTTGAGACAAAGTTTCCCTAAGTAATCCAGGCTGGCCTCAAACTCATGGAGATCCTTCTGCCTCAGCCTCCTGAGGGCTAGGATTACAGGCATGTACCACCATGCCTAACTTTAGGGCATTTTTTTTTATCTGAAAGAATAGATCTGGGAAATAGAGGAACTGTGCCTTAATAAAACAGACATTCTTTGGAGTGTGCTATAGCAATCACTTGATAGGAGTCAGGAAATTAAATTTCTAGTCCCAGTTAGTAATTGGAAAACTTACTTTGCCTCTCTGTTCCCCAATTTCTCCTAATTTCAATGTGATGTTTGGGCTTTGAAATTACAGGATGCTAAGGACTGACCTGATAAAGCTCCCTGGTATTTCAGACATTTTTAGAGGGTATCTATGAGTGAGTGAATGAATGAGTGAGTGAGTGAGAAGGGTGTGTGTGTGTGTGTGTATGTGTGTGTACTTTTCTGAACATGTAAAGTTCTGGGAGGGCTTCCCCTTTAACCACATAAAACAATAATGTATGAATTGTGGTGTTTATAATTGAGAAGTAAATATTACACTTAGTATTGTGTTTATTTTCAAAGAATTGGGTGCTTCATTTGTTCTGCTCTTCTCATATCATCTTTGTATGTCTGTGAGCCAAGAATATTTCATCCATGTTTAACTGAAATTCGTATCTCGCTAAGTTATTATCCAATATTATATAGAAAATGAGTAAGTGGCCGGGCGTGGTGGCACATACCTATAATCCCAGCTCTTGGGAGGCTGAGGCAGGATTGCTGTGAGTTCGAGGCAAGCCTGGGCTACAAAGTGAGCTCAAGGCCAGCCTGAACTGCATAGTGAAACCCTGTCTCAAAAAGATAAAAAAAAAAAAACATGAAGAAGTGGTACAACTGAAAATTTAGTTCCTACTAAGCTGGGCATGGTGGCGCACGCCTAGCACTCAGGAAGCTGAGGCAGGAGAATTGCTGTGAGTTCGAGGCCAGCCTGGGCTACAAAGTGAGCTCAAGGCCAGCCTGAACTGCATAGTGAGACCCTGTCTCAAAAAGGCTAAAAAACAAATTTCCTACTACATAGTTTTCTTGATCTTTTGCTTATATAGCTTTCTTAGAGAAATTAACTGATATTGACTATGGTTAAGATTATCAACCAGGTGTGGTGGTGCATACCTGTTATTCCAGCACTGGGGAGGCTGAGGCAGAAGGATCACCATGAGTTCCAGGCCAGCCTGGGCTACATAGAAAAACCTTGTCTCAAAAAAAAAATTATCACTCTTTGCCCAGCAGAAATAAAATCATGGACTGCCCACAGAGTATTTGTCTTGTACTTTATTTGGTGTATTGTAGAACAGCTGGCTTTATATTAGTGTTGTCTGGCTTTATCATTGTATCTCTAGTCATATTTTAGGGGATGGACATGGGAGTCATACATCTAAGGAAGCATTAACTTTAGTGTTGTTGTTCTGGGGATCATACCCAGAGCCTTGCACATGCTAGGCAAGTGCTCCACTATTAAGCTACACCCTAGCCCCAGGAAGCATTATTTTATAATGGAGCAAATTAATGTAGACTGGCACATCTCTCTGCCTAACTGGTCAGTAACTCTATTTTGGAGATTGATCTGGACATCTAAATCTGTTTGGTGTGGCATGGGGCAGAAAAATTAGCTTTGAAGTGGCAGATTTCTACACTGGATAAAGGGAAGTGTTTAACTCTCAAAGGAAGTAAATCTGTTAGCATTACTCTTTATGTATTTTTAAGCAGTACTTAGGGATTGAACCCAGGAATGTTCTACCACTGAGCTGTGTCCCACAAAGGGTCTCACTAAGTTGACCAGGTGGGACTCCAGCTTGCAATCTTCCTATCTCAGCCTTCCTAAATTCTAGGATTGCAGACATGAGCCATAATGTACCACTTGAATGATCCTTTAATGTTTCCTGTTTTCAACAAAGGAAATACATATATTCATGTGAAAATGAATTATTATAAATTCTCAGTTACAGCTGTATCAACAAAATTAGTTCAATTGTGAGCTTTGTCTATGCATGCATTAAGCATTAGTAGATGCAGATTAAATGTGAATTTAATGTCTCAAAAATAAGCAAAACAGGGGCTGGGGATTTAGCTCAGCAGCAAAGCACCTGCCTGGGAAGTGCAAGGTCATGAGTTCGATTTCTGGTACCGGAAGAAAAACAAAACAAACGAACAAAACGAACAAAACCATGTAATATTGTATGTTTGTGACTTTTTCTCTATAATTTATATATTTAGAAATATGCAAAGCAATTAGCTTCGAGTTTTACAGTAAACCATAGATTTATGGAGATACGATTCAGAGAGTGAAAATAATTCTCTCATATTTCAACCCCTCTAAACAGGATACTATACTTGCAGAACTTCTTCAGATACATAAAGAACACATTGTAGGATATCATGAACATGATTCTCTTTTGGACCACAAAGAAGAAGAAGAGTTAACTGAAGAAGAAAGAAAAGCAGCTTGGGCAGAATATGAAGCAGAAAAGAAGGTAGTTCATTCAGAGTATTTTTTTAACCAGGTGTGGTTACATGAACCTATAGAGCCAGCTACTCAAGAGGCTGAGGCAGGACATTTGCTTGATCCCAGGATTCAGGACCAACCTGGGCAGTACACTAAGACCCCACCTCAAAAAAACAAAAGCCTTTTGATTTTTATTTTCATCATTTAAAAGCAGTGAGGAAGAAAAAGGTCACATTTGAAATGGATGATAATATAGTGGGTCTTCAGGTATAAGATCCCCAGTTACAAGAATCAGTTTAGACAGTTCAGCTACATTTGACTGTAGAGTAGGAGGAAAGGACAGAAGAAAGTAATGTTTTACATGTAGAGAATACACATTTCTGCTTAACACTGGCTGAATTGAGAGTCAAGTGGGAAGCTATATATTTAGTTATTTAATTCTCATCCACATCCTTACTGTATATATTCTCAAACATATAGGAGCTTAGAGTTTGGAGTTAGGAATTGTTTTAGCATGTGTTCCATGAAGTCAGAATTTTGGCTGAATAGCAGAACACAAATATTTTATTATTGGATATTAATGTCAATCTCCAGCAGCAACTTTATTTAAAATAATTCTATGTCTGTTCTAAACACCAACCCACTTGAGCCAAAAAATGTGCCTGAGCAGGGGAAACCTTATCCTAATACCTGAATCCTTTTTAAACTCCTAGCTCATTGTACAAAATTTCTTTAATGTTAATGTGATGTTAGAAGTCTCATCAGAATTCAGTTGCCTCATTCTATGGGAATTACCAGAAAAAATACACCTTTAGGGGTTAAAGCTTTCCGTGTAATAAGATCTTGGTTTCAGGTGAAAAGGGTGTTTTGTTTGTGTGTGGAAGACTGTTAATAATGTCCTAGATCTGAGAACATAGATTCTTTTCTAAAGCAGTAGGTGATGTAGAATTTCAAGTTTTAAATCACAATGTGAAAAGTGCATAATTTTTTTGTTTTTAGGGACTGACCATGCGTTTCAACATACCAACTGGGACCAATTTACCCCCTGTCACTTTCAACTCTCAAACTCCTTATATTCCTTTCAATTTGGGAGCCCTGTCAGCAATGAGTAATCAACAGCTGGAGGTACGCTGCGAAGTACAAAAGTAGTTTAACATGAATTAAAGGCAAATTCAAGTGACTTGTTTTTGACAAAAGGTTCCCTAGTAGGAATATCCATTCTCCAAAGATTACCTGTGAATAGACCAAGAAACTTCTTTTATTTGTTGACCTTTTGAAACCAACATAATAAAGTAAAATGCAGTTTGTTCAGAGCCCAAGGGAATCAGTCCTCGAATTATTGCAGTTTGAATTATTTTAATTAAGGAACAAGAAGGCAGCTGAATGGCTAGTGGAAAATAGCGCTTTCTTCGTTATAAAGTTTTTGGAATGAACAAATTGCATAGTGATTGAAACTAGAGTAACTGCATTAAGTTACATTCTAATATACTGTAGATGTACCATTAAGTATATAAAGCCAAGTATTATGAAATAAGTGATTTAAAAGTAGAATCAATTATGAACAGGAAAGATTGGGCTTTTTATAGGAATAGATTAATAATTAAATCTCTGGTTTCCTTTTTTATATATGCTTTATTTAAATCATTAAACTTCTGGTGCAATAAAACCCAAATTTTTATCTTCCTAGCAAGATCCTATTGACATTGATGAGTTTTTAGTCCACTTTATTGATGCTGAATTTTGCTGCTCTCATTTAGAGTTTTAAAATCAAGCGATATATATAAATTGGCAAGAGGAAGGATCCCTACACTTTAAAACTATGCTGTCCTTCTGCCCTCTATAACCTATTTCTTATGTTCTTCTAGGACCTCATTAATCAAGGAAGAGAAAAAGTTGTGGAAGCAACAAATAGTGTGACAGCAGTGAGGATTCAGCCTCTTGAAGATATAATTTCAGCTGTAGTAAGCTCACTTATAGTTGTATTATTTCAACCTCCAATTTATTGCTCATTCATTTAATTTTTAATTATTTGTTCACTACTTCTGTGAGGAAGTGAGTTTAATTCCTATAACTTGATTTGCAGTAGTAAAATACTACTGAACTGGACAATAGTCCCAAACTGTAATCCAGCATATTACATACATGTTGGCAAAAAGAGAAATGGGTAAAATTCTGAAACTTAGGAAATCAAACATAAAAATGTATACATTGTTTGTATAAACATGTTAAGTATCAGCCACACAAATTAAATCCGGATACAGTACGTATTCATTCTAGAGATAGCCCGCCCATGCCCGTGGACAATTTAGTACCCTGCTTTTATATAACTGTTTTCTTCAGAAGTGAATAAAGGAAAGCCAGGCATGGTGTTGTATTCCTGTAATCACAGCACCTTGGGGGGCTGAGGCAGGAAGATCACAAATTCGAGCTTGGGCAACTTGGAGACTTAGTGAGACCTTGTATTGAAATACAAAATGATAAAAAGGGTTAGGGATGTAGCTTAGTGCAAAGGCCCTGGGTTCAATTCCCAGTATGGAACTCAAAAAGAAGAATGAAGCAGGAGGGTGTTGTAAGGTTGTGAATATCTTTAATTATTTTTCCTCACTTGTATAATAATAAATACAAAATTTTTCTTTTAGTGGAAGGAAAACATGAATCTCTCAGAGGCCCAAGTACAAGCGTTAGCATTAAGTAGACAAGCCAGTCAGGAACTTGATGTTAAACGCAGAGAAGCAATCTACAATGATGTACTGACAAAACAACAGATGGTAAGAATTCTCTCTCTAGGTGTTTTAATTAACAAGAGATCATGTGATTTTTTTATGTCAATAACTATCCCTATGGAGGGTTGGAGGGTCATTGATTAGAATTGTTGAAAAAAATGGTACATTTGTAACAAAGGAACAACTTCCTAAGTGGATCTTCTTTAAGTTGTATAGGATCTATTGCATATCATTTCATTTTTCATATATTCTGGACCTCTAAATAGGAACATTCACTAGACTTTTACCACCTTTACTATTTTTGAAGAGTTTCTAAAAGGTATACTTTTCAGCATATTTAATTTGAAAATAAGATGGACCTGTGGGTAGTATATATCCCAAATTCCTACTAAATTATATAATTCTCCAAAAATCTAGCATATTCTGGGATCCTTGGTCATCTTTCCCAGTACGGTCATTTGTCAGCCATCTGCCTTGTACTGGGAAATTTCAATTCTTGACTCCAGGGAATCAATTTCCATGGCATGAATTTTACTTAGAAAGCATGGCAGAATTGTGTGGTTTTAAATTATCTTAAGAAATTTGAGACGTTCTAGGTAGGAATTATTCGTACTACAAGTGCTTTTTCCCTCTGGTATTTGTCACTAAAATGTTTGTCTGTCATCATGTGAAATAGTCAAAAGAATGAGAAAGAAAGGAGACTTAATAGAAAGTGCTGTAACTAATACTTGAGACTAATCACAGTGCAGGACAGGTTACTATGGCAACTGACCTAAATGCTGCTTGCAATACAATAGTCAAGTCATTAAGAGAATTTAGCCCTAAATGGTGTTACTAACTGGTTTCTACAGTAATGGTCCTGTGAATGCCATCAAATTAGTAATGGTGATAACAATAATATGTTTTCCTTTTGGTATGGTACCCCCTTAACAAATTGATTTTAACTCAAAACTTGATACTTGCCGCTTTGAGACAGGTCATGCACTTGTAACAGCTCCCTTTTCTTTCTATAGTTAATCAGCTGTGTTCAGAGAATACTTATGAACAGAAGGCTCCAGCAGCAGTACAATCAGCAGCAACAGCAACAAATGACTTACCAACAAGCGACACTGGGTCACCTCATGATGCCAAAGCCTCCAAATTTAATCATGAATCCTTCTAACTACCAGCAGATTGATATGAGAGGAATGTATCAGTCAGTGGCGGGCGGTCTGCAGCCACCACCATTACAGCGTGCACCACCCCCAATGAGAAGCAAAAATCCAGGACCTTCCCAAGGGAAATCGATGTGATTTTGCACTAAAAGCTTAAAGGATTGTTAAAATCATAGAAAGATCTTTTATTTTTTTAGGAATCAATGACTTAACAGAACTCAACTGTATAAATAGTTTGGTCCCCTTTAAATGCCAATCTTCCATATTAGTTTTAAATTTTTTTAAAATAGGGCATACCATTTCTCCCTGACATTTGTCAGTGATGTTGCCTAGAATCTTCTTGCACACATTGGGTACAGAAGATATTTCAAATTGTTTTCAGTGAAAACAAGTCCTTCCATAACAGTAACAGCTCAGATTTCCTCTCTAAATTTTTACGCCTGCTTTTAGCAAACATAAAATTGTCATAAAATTAATGAATTTAGGAAAGAATAAAGATTTATATATCCATTCTTTACATATAAAAATACACAGCTGAGTTCTTAGAGTTGATTCCTCAATTTATGAAATACTTTTGTACTTAATCCATTTCTTGATTAGAGTGATTGACACAGTCTTAATGTTCTTTTGACTGAAGTCTGAAACTGGACTGCTATATTGTCTCTTATGATTGAAAGTCAGAAACTAAGGGTTATCTTTGACACAGAATTGTGTGCAATATTCTTAAATACTACTGCTCTAAAGTTGGAGGAGTCTTGCAGTTATCTTAGCATTGTATAAACAGCCTTAAGTACAGCCTAAGAAGAGAATTCCATTTTCTTCTTTAGTCTGCCATTTTTTATTTTCAGTTATACGTGCTGAAATAATTACTGGTGAAATTTCAGGGCTGTGGATTATCTTTTCTCTCTCCTGGCACTAATATAAAGCACATCTTTTAACTGCATGGTGCCGGTTGCTAGTGCTTCATCCTGTTGCTGGCAGTGGGATGTGGACTAAGAAAATCAAGTTCTAGCATTTTAGGAGGTTCATGTTGAAGTTGTTAGGTTCACACCCTGTTTTATAAACAACATCAAAATGGCAGAACTGTTGCTGACTTTAAGTTCACATGAGGAATGTGCTTTAACAATTCCCAGTACTGTCAGTATTGTGAAATAATTCCTCTTAAAGATAAGGATCACTGGCTTCTTTTTTCTCATTACCATGTTCTTTCCCCATTTCCTTATGTTTTTCTTTGATTGATTTAAAGTTTGATTCCCCCCCCCCCAGTTTAGATCTGAGGCAATTTTATGATCCAAATTACTTTATCTAACACCCTTTTCTGAGGTTTTACTAAAAATCATTACATTTCTTTTTCATAATCCAGGTGTGTAAAAATGGACTATAATTTTGTGTTCAATTTGGTTGCTTGAGTTTCTTAAATAAAAAGGTTGTTTTTGACTATGGGAGTCAACATGGTAAAACCATTTTTGAGATGGTGATGTAATAGTAGCAAAGCTAAAGAATTCCTGTAAAAAGAAAGCTGGGTGGAGGATTTACTCTAGGTATCACTGGATTAGAATGAATTTAGCATTAGCTAGAACTGTTTTGAGTTTTTTGGATAATAAAGAGATTTCCATTTTTATCTTGGAAGAACTAGTGGTAAAATATCCAAGAACACTAGGTTTATGATACATAATTTATGAGGTTGGTGGGTCCACCCCCCACTTTCCCGTGGTAAAATATCACTAACAAATTCCATATATTTGGAGACTATGCCAGCCATATAATCAGATTTATTTAATTGGGGTGGGAGGCAGACGTGTTTACTTTAGAAAAAATGAAAAAGACAAGATTTATAAGATAAGTATTCGAAAGCAGTACACTCTGGCCAACTGTTATCAATTGGTATTTCTGCAAGTCCAGAATACTCTAAACCTGATTTACTAGACCTGGGAATTTTCAACATGGTCTCTAATCACTAATTCAGAGACGTAGATGTAAAAACATTAGGCAACCTTTTTCACCTTGGATGAAGGTATGACTTAAAAGATAATATACATAGAAAGATGAATAGGAAATCAGAGTTTGAAATAAAACTTGGACCACTTTGCATACACTCTTCTCACTTGACATTTTAGCTACATAATATGTACTTTGAGTATAGTATGAAATTTTAACAAATATTGAAAGACAAAAATCAAATCAGTAAAATACTAAAAAGCTCATTTTTATATTTGTTTTAGATGTTTTAAATAGTTGCAATGGCTTAAAAATGACCATTTAAAATGTTGCTTGTAATACAGTTTTGCCTGCTAAATTCTCCACTTTTTGTAACCTGTTTTATTTCTTTGGGTGTAAAGCGTTTTTGCTTAGTATTGTGATCTTGTATATGTTTTGTCCCAGTTGTATAGTAATGTTTCAGTCCATCATCCAGCTTTGGCTGCTGAAATCATACAGCTGTGAAGACTTGCCTTTGTTTCTGTTAGACTGCTTTTCAGTTCTGTATTTAGTATCTTAAGTACTGTAGAAAAGATGTCACTTCTTCCTTTAAGGCTGTTTTGTAATATATATAAGGACTGGAATTGTGTTTTTAAAGAAAAGCATTCAAGTATGACAATATACTATCTGTGTTTTCACCATTCAAAGTGCTGTTTAGTAGTTGAAACTTAAACTATTTAATGTCATTTAATAAAGTGACCAAAATGTGTTGTGCTCTTTATTGCATTTTCACAGCTTTGAAAATCTGTGCACATATTGTTTCATAGAAAAATGTATAGCTTTTGATGTCCTATGAAATGGTGGTTCTTTTTCACATTTAGTTATTTAATATTGGGAGGTGAGGAAGTTTGATTTTTGAATCTGTTGTATACTCAATTCTGTAAAAGGAGATCTCTAACCTCAAAAAGAATTTAAGTACCAGGAAGTCTGTGTGTTTGTGTTCGTTTTGGTTGTCTGTGTGCAATTCAGCACCATTTCCTGCTTCCTCACAGCTGTATTCAAGTCAGACAGAGCTACCATCTCATACTTGATACAAAAACTGCTTACCATTAGAAGCCATAGCAGCTACAGGAAAAACATAATGTCTGGCCTCCAAAAAAGCTGAATATTATGTAAACTTCTTTTAATTATGCCCTTTTTCCCTCTTTCCTCATAAAGGTTCTTATTTATGTGCTCCAAGCAAAACTTTAGAAATAATTTCTTCTCTGTCTCAATAATCGTTGTTTCTCTTGAGGATATCATGTAGATATTTACTCTTACAATAAAATTGGTCAATCATTCATATGTTAATTTTGCTAAAAACTATGTCCCACCTTCAAAAGTCTATAAGCTAATCCCAAAGGTGTGACCAAGTTTCAGAAATTCTTTCATCTGTACAACATTATTTATAGATAGGGGGTAAATAAAAAAAAATCCCGAGTATATACTGTGTGGATGTAAAGTGTCTACCAGGTCACCAGACACTCATGTCACTAGTGTTGGATGTAATAATGGGACGACACCCCAACTGTAGGAGTTTTATTCTCTGCGGTGCACACTGCCATAAAATTCCCTTAGGTACTGCATACCACTACCATTTCCTTGGAATAACCTTCCTGACACCAGTGTTCTACTAAGCTAAGGGAATCACCCTTTCTCCTTTCATTGTAGGGATTGTTTCGATAATGACCACTGCACATGTATCTTCACCAAGAAAAGAAGAATAAATACTGAGGCCTTCATTAAAGGTTATAAGGATGGAACCTTAATGGAAGGGATGAAGTAAATTGTAAGATTGTGTAGGCAGGCCCACTTTAATACTCAGAATTGGTCACGAGCAGTTCACCCAGCAACGCAACTCTGTATTCTGCTCCTGGACATTCTGCCCTTACTTCCTCCTCTCCCTGATAGAAACGTAAGGGGGGAGGGAGCCTAGCTATAATCATAGCTAAATAGATCAGATGACTACCAAGAGACTTCTGCCTATTAAATAGGCTCAACCCTGTAGTTTTCACATTAAACAGGTGTTGGTTTTCAAGAGCGGTGAAGAGAAATGGCTTTTCAGATATAAGGATGGGGTTTACTTCGGGTATATGAGGAGAAAGTATCGAGAAGGAATAAAAGTGGAGAAGGATCAGGAAAGAGGCAAGCCTGGAATGGACTGATTGCTTTAAAATCCTAAATGAGTAATTCAACAGCAAGGGTTTGTGAGCCTAATGTCTTCAAAGTAGCAAGTAATGATGGTGGTTTGGGCTGAAGTAATTTCAATAGGTAAAGGAAGGACGCACAAGATTCGTAATGACTCTAGGCCTTCGGTGACAACACTACAGGCGATTTGAAGGCCAAAAGGAAAGAAATCATTAGAGATTTTATAGGATAGTGGGCTTTATAAATGGTATTTATAAGACCCTGTTACTTCCCTTTACTCTTCCCATAGGGAGCCCGACTTTATTCAGGGTTTCTGATTTTACGCACCAAATCGCACTTAGTGGTTTCGATTGTCAGGCTGGATCTGTCCGTTAGTGGTGTCCTTGCTCTTTGTTGTTGTTCTGCATCGTACTCTCACGTTTACTTGCAGAAGGAACCTGGTCCGTTTGAGTAAAATTCTCTTTAAGCCAGTTCTTCAGTGATCTAAACCGATTCCTGTTACTTTCTGTTAAGAACAATCCATTCAAAGTGCTAGTGTCTCTGTTGGTAATACTACACAGTATAAGTTTCCCGTAGTGTTTTCAAAGTACTTTGTGGTTATTACGTGTTAACCTGTTCACAGCCTGAGATGTGTGACAATAATTCCATTTGCCACGTGACAGTTAAACTAAATGGGACCAAAATCAAATGCATTGCACTTACGAGGCAGAAGACACACTAGCTAAATTCTCTGGGGTTTTCACTTCTCATTTGAAAATGGGAGCCATAATAATGCCTTATCCACTAGAAGGCAGGAGACTGGACCAGGTAATTTCCCAAGTCTCTTTCAGTGCCTAGAGTTAAACTGAGCAAAGCTGTGTAAAGCCAAAAGGCAACGTGTGTGTGTGTCTAAAGTTACAAGGTAAGTTTGTGAATAGCCCAAGAAATCCCTTCCCTTTGGCTAACCCTTTCTTCCACTAAGCTATACCTTTTCTTTTCCTCTGTTTAGAAAAATGAAAGCTCTGGCAGGTATTTTAATGACAAAGCAGATAAGTCAAGTTGTAATTGGCTCTAATTACCACTTCCACAAGCTGTAACCTCCTTTATCTTCTGCCCAGAGGCACTCCCATAGCTGTGTTTCTTACTGCCTCTGGAACTTAACTGCAGAAAATGGAAAAACATGTTTAAGCATCTGATGTCTTATATCTTGGTTGCCTGATTAGAATGAATGCGACAGAACATCAGGGTAAATAGAAATCAGCTTTTGTGAGCTCTGTTTTAAAGTTTAAAAAAAGTGATAATTTCCCATTGTTCATAACTAAGATTAGAGCAAATGGTCTGATCTGGATAGTTCGTAGTGAGTAGAAGGCAATACAGTATTTGTATATGTTGACTCGTTTAACAGCACATACCTTCTGAGGTGTAGATTTTACCGTCCAATTGTGTGCCAAAAACCAAGAAAACTTAATAGAAGAGTGAAATAGTATTTTTTTGTAGCTGCTTGTCCCTACATGCCAGTAGAAAAGCAGCTAAAAGCCTGTGTCTAGCCTGCTGAATGCATTAAAATGAAAACAAAACCAAACTTAAAAGGGAAAATTTGATTTATAGCCATCTTAGGTCTTGTTTATCTCCAGCCCTTGGTAGATTTTCAACCATACAGCATAGAGAAGTCTGGTTTTAGTGATGCAGGATTGCTTGGGTTTTGATCTTAGCCTTCGTAGTCACAAGAGTCTTTATTAGCAAAATTTCCATCCCACATCTTGCAAGCACTATTCCCGGGTGTTTGTACTAACCTCACAGAGTGTCTGTGATTTTTTTTTTTCCCTTTAAATTTCTAAACTATCTTCCCCCAACTCTACCACACACATACATGCTCTTACATTCATACTGTTATGGGGAAAATAATTCCCAATCTGATATGTGTCAGATGTACTCAGTTCATGTTCTCACAACACTGAAGAGTGAAATCACAAACCAAAGGAAGAAATTAGGGGGAGTTTTATTGGAAATAAGGAGAAAAATAACTCCTGGATCTCCAGGACAGGTCCCAAATGGGTGGCTGCCGAGGCTGTCAGGAGTGTTTTATACAGCAAAATCACAACATGGGTCAAACTACAATCAGTCTATAGCAGTGATGATGAAATTTTAAAGCTTTCAATGAATCTCTAACAGCCCGGTGCAGGACACAAGTTCACCACCACTTACCTCTAAGGTTAGAAGTGTAGTTGCTTAGCTAATATTGATCCAATAGGTAAACCTCATGTAGTCAGGGTACATGTAAAGAACATTCTTGGAAAGGGATGGGTCCGGATTTCTGGCTACCCACCTACGCATCTGATGCCTATATGGGCTCACTGGACCGGGTAGTGTTAATTACAATACAATATAATCTCTTTCTCTCTCTCTCTCGTTTTTGTCTTTTTGAGACAAGGTCTCACTATGCAGTTCAGGCTGGCCTTGAGCTCACTTTATAGCCCAAGCTGGCCTTGAACTTGCAGTGATCCTCCTGCGTCAGCCTCCTGAGCGCTGGTAGTATGGGCATCTGCCACCATGCCAGGCTAATTACAATATAATCTCAGTTTGCTCTTTATCTCTAAGGAGGCTTGCACGCCCAGCTCTCCAGAGTCACCTCCAGGTGTAATGTTTGTGTTTCATTTTCTGTGCTGACTGCTTCGAGGGCCCATTCCTTCTCTGACACATTAATTTCTAATTTGGTTGTCTATAGTAATACCTTACATACCTGAGTGGGTATGGAGAAGGCTTACACAATTCCAGAAAGCTAAGATGATGGGGTTCTTAGAGCCCATGTAACCCAGGCCTCTCACTTGTCAACCAGGGAAAACAAAGGTCCAGGGAGAGGGAAAGACGCCCAAGGGCACCCTTGTCTTTTAGCTTCTCTTCCAGTCCATTCAGACGCCTCCTATTACACTTAAATTCCAATTCATTTTTTTCACCTGTCAGACTACATTAAGCAAATTTTCAATATAATTGGTAAAGGACTAAGCTTTTAAAATGAGAATTGTTAGCCGGGCCTGGTGGTACAGGCCTGTAATCCCAGCCAACCTTCGGAGGCTGAGGCAGAAGGATCGCAGTGAGTTTAAAGCCAGCCTGAACTATATAGTGAGAAACCCCGTCTCAAAAAAAAAAAAAAAAAAAAAAAAAAAAAGAAAAACCAAAAAGGTTTTTCTTTCATCACGTTCAGCATAGTTTAAACCAAGAGGATATGGGGCTGGGGATATAACTCAGCGGCACAAGCGCTTGCCTGGCAAGCCTGAGGTCATGAGTTCAATTCCTGGTACAAAAAAAAAAAAATAGAGGCTAAACCAATAGGATCGAGGAGTTCATGTCTACTTTCCAGATCTCAATGCCCGGTGCCAAGAGTGGAATCACTCAGCCTTCCTCAGACCATGCATGTTTATGTACCAAGTACTTCAATATCAAAGAGTATTTCAAATGAGAAATGCAGTGTAGCCACAAGAAAACAAAACAAAGCAGAAAGAGTTCTGTGTTAGTACAGTGATTTCTGTCAGAACAGGGGTGACTCTCTGAGATATGTGCCATGAGCACCATGAGTATTTTACGTATTTCCAAAGAACTCAAAGTAAGATGGCTTTAACAGGCTCGAATTTGGGTGCCTGGTTCTCTGTGTAAACTTGGACATGTTACTTCACCTCTCTGAGTCTTCTCTCACACAGCAGTCGAGCTTTCTATCGTTCTTTTGGGGTTTTTTTGTTTTCGTTTTTTGAGACAGGGTCTCACTATGTAGTTCAGGCTGGCAGTGATCCTCTTGCCTCAGCCTCCCAAGTGCCGGGAATACAGATGTGCGCCACCATGCCCGCCAAGATTTATTGAATGCCTATTATATTTCAGGCACTGTGGCCAGTCATTTTGGTTCTTCTAGTTTTATACACCACAAAGCAGGTTTAAAATAATGAAATTGTTTGCCTTGTATCACACAACAAACTTGGAAGAGGCAGAATTCAGAGCATGTTGTCTGATTTTATATTTTTGCCACTGAACAAGTATGCAACTCTTCTTTGAAGCAAGATGTGATTTAATCCCAGCTTTCTGCAAACTATTTAGAGTACCTAATCATTTTGTTCGTTTGCATATCAGCTCTCACTTGTCTGTTTCCACTTAAGTTAGGCCTTAAAGAAACAATACTCCGGTTTTC